CGGCTCAAGCGCCCCAACGAGGACAGTGGCGGCCAGGGCGACGTCGCTCCTCCTCCTCCTGATGACGCGGGTGCCCAGCCGCAGGCCGCCGTGGCGTCAGCTCTCGAGTCGTTGCAGGTGGGTGGCAGCGGTCTGCCCAACTCGGAGCCCCCGCCAGCCAAGCGCATCAAGCAGGAGGTGGCCGATGAGGATCAGGAGAACTTCCAGGCGGCGATGGAGGCCGACGAGGATGACGAGAGGGACGAGGGGGTCAAGCCGATGGACCTTGCCGAGCAGGCCGACTCGGCGCTTCTCAACGTGGGCCGCTCCACCCGCAGCATGAAGAAGGCCAAGGGGCAGAAGGGCAGGGCCAGTCGCTACGGCGGGAAGCGCCAGCACGCCCGCAAGCAGACGGGGGCTGACAAGAGGGACAGCCAAGCATCGCAGAAGGGCTTCAAGCCTCCGGAGTTCCAGCGCGACACCCTCCTCGCTCTCAGCCTGCCCATCTCGGACGATGAGCCCGTGTTGCCCGAGTGGGCGATGGGGCTCGCCAAGATCCCCGACAACCCCATCGGCTTCATCTCGCAGGACCTCGCCAACGAGAACCTCAAGGCATACGCCACACTGTTCAGCCGAACGGCCGCGGAGAAAGGCGACGTGGCGTCGGTGCCGCCCGTCCAGCAGGCCTACGCCTTCGTCAAGGACGTGGCGCAGCACATCGAAGCCTTCCGGAGCCCCGAGGTGTGTCCAATATGCGCGAGGCTGCAGACGGAGGACACCGAGGCGGCGGCGTGGATCAGCTGCGACGAGTGCGGGCGTTGGTTCCACATGCACTGTGTGGGCATCAGCGGGTCGGCCATCCTCCCCAGCACCTACGTCTGTCCCATCTGCTGCATCCGCAACACCAACCCACTCCGCAACCCCATGAGTCTCCGACTTGTCAAGCTCAACCGGTGGTTCCTCTGCCCCGCCCCGCGACGCTACCCCTCATGGCAGCGGGCCCTGCGGCTGGTGCGCGAGTCATTCAAGGGCGCACTGAGCGGTCTGCAGCTACCCGAGCGGCTCCTGCTGCAGCACAGGTTTGCATACCTCCTCCTGTGGATGCATGACCTCTACGCCAGGACGAGGGTCCCCGCCCTCGAGGACTCTCCGGGTCGGCTGTTGGACGAGCTGCCCAACCGCAAGCACAAGGGGAGGGGGGCGATGGCGCATTTGGTGGAGGAGCGGGCCAGCAGCGGCGAGGTGGTGCACCAACCGTCAGAGTACACGTCGTCCAACCGTCCGATCGACACGCGGGAGGTGCTGCGTAAGATCCAGAGCGAGGAGGGGCCCATGTGCATCGGCGACAGCGTCCCCGACATCGGCAAGCTCGAGCGCAAGATCAAGAGGACCATGAAGGAGATCGAGCAGCAGCGCCGCACCACCGACGACGACGACCTCGTGACTGAGGAGGCCCCGGGAGGCGCCGAGGAGGACGCAGCGGACATGGTGTCACCGTTCGTCCCTGCCGCCAACGCCAACGCAGAGGAGGGCGACCAATCAGCGGGCCCACGGCCCCCACAGGACCAGCAGGACCGGCAGCTCGAAGAGGACGCCATGGAAGTCGACGAAGAGGAGACCCCCTCGTCCAGCAAGAAGGGCCGGCCACCACCGGCCAAGGGGACTGAGGCCGTCAAGGCCACAGACCGCGCCCGCACCCGCGGCCAGAGTGGCGTTCTCCCCAAGAAGAAAGGCAAAGGCAAAGGGAGAGGGGACGACAAGGAGCCCCGCCGGTCGAGGGACGACGACGAGGATTCAGACCGCCCTCCCAATGGAGAGCTGGGAGGCGAGAGCTCGCCGATCGACGTGGACCGGCATGGTGCGTCGAGGGGGCGGGGCGGCAAGCGGGTGCTGTGGGTGCGGCTGCCGTGGAAGTGCGGCGAGGTGGAGCTGTCGTGCCGGCCCGTCAGGGCGGACGGCCGCATCTCGCTGGACATGGATGAGTTCGAGTCGATGGTATGCGTGGGCCGCATGGTGGGTCTGGGGAAGGTGCCTGAGATGGTCAGCTGCCTGGGCCACATGCGTGCGATGCGCAAGTGGCGGTGGAAGGCCAACCGGTTCCTCGAGGACAGGAAGGAGGCCACGGTGCAGATCCGCAAGATGCACCCCATGGTCAACATGTCCAGCGCCGACCGGGCCCGCTGGGACCCCTGGTGCCCCATCCCAGTGCCAGACACCCTCGAGCAGCTGCGCGTGCCCTACGGCAGTGTGCCCGAGATCCTGGACGCCATGCCCAAGAGGATCCAGCTCAAGGTGCTCGAGGTCGAGAAGCTCAAGCGCATCATCAGCCAGACCTCTAAGGTCCACGAGGAGCTCATGCGCATGATCGCACAGCCGCTCAAGGAGACCGCTGACGACCTCACTGCCATTCAGAACGACGTCACGCGGCTGCCCATCCGCTTCCCCGAGGAGGACGCCCTCCGCGACCTCCAGCCGGCCCGTGTGTGGGTCGAAGAGAAGCGCCGCATCCTCAAGTCGTGGCAGGGCGACAAGCCGGGCCAGCCTGGGCAGGCAGGCAAGCGACCACCGGTGCATCTGAGGTCGTGGCGGACACGGAGGGCGCAGTCCACGGTGGAGGAATGGCTCAAGAAGTGGGACGACTTGCGGGTCAGGGAGAGCTTCAATAGTGAGGGCGGCAAGGCACTCAAGGAGGAGGGCGACAAGGTCGCCGACGAGTGGCGCAAACTCCTCGACGCGGCCCGCCAGTGGGACGAGCGCGTCCGCCGCATCCTCGAGATCAGGATGAAGCCCGAGACGGTGCTGCAGCGCACGAAGAGCCCTTCCAAGAAACCCAACGAAGACGGCAAGCCACAGGAGGAGGAACCGGCTGCAGCTGCGGCTGCAGCCTCTCCAAGTGCAGCTGCCGCCTCTGCAAGTGCATCTGCAGCCGCAGCACCTGCGGCGGATGGGACGTCGGCCCAGCAGCCCTCGTCGGCAGCGTCAGACGACACGCCGTCGGACAAGAAGCTGTCGAAGAATGAGCAGATGGAGGAGCGGTACAAGTTGATCCGCGCTCACCTGCCGACGTACGAGGAGGTGCGGCGGTGGCAGGCGGAGGGGTGGGAGATGGTTGTGGTGCCGATGCTGCAGAATGAGGTCGACCAGGCCATCAGGCGCAAGGATGACGCCGTCAGGGAGCTGCAGAAGGGCGCCAACCGGCCCGCTGGCAGATACAAGTACGAAACCCTCGAGGTGCTCCTCAGACTGGTAAGCCCATCCCCCGCCCCTCTCACCCACACCACACCACACATGTGTCGGTCGCTCAATGTAATGCTGTGGTGGGGTGGGGTGTCTTGATCTCTCTCTTTGGTCTGGTCAGTGCAACATCGAGAAGGAGAGTTGGATTATCGGCCCGCCATGTCTGACTGAGTGTGACGAAGAGTACAAGGCCATCAAGAACTGGATCACGGAGGCCCGCAAGATGCTCGACGACGCCACCAAGCACGTGGCCAACGCCAAGAACGTCGACAACCCCAACCCCTCCCCGCCCCAGGACCAAATCGACAAGATCGTCGACCACTACAACAAGTCTCTCGCACTCACTGTCAACGTCGGCCGCAGCCGCATCGCACAGGACGCCAGGGCACTAGCCGAGAAACACAACTTCATGCACCGACTGCAGACCTCCCCCCCGGCCCCGCCATACAGTGGGCCACCACAGCCCATCCAATCAACCGTCCGGCCACCGATGGTCGTCCCACAGCACGCTGGCGCCCCCAGCCGTGCGGTCAGCCCGCCTGGACCTGCAGGAGGCCATCCTCACGTCAATGCGCCACCCCAACCGTGGCATCATCCCGGCGCCTACTATGGCTACCCCCGCCCCCACCCAGGCCCAA